TTATGTTCGTTTATTTAATAACTGAACGAACATGAACAAAAATTATCGTTCGTTTAGTTAAATGAACGAACATGAACAATGGTCTCGTTCGTTCATTTATATTCGTGAACGTTCGTTTATGATGTTCATTTACGTTCGTTTATGTTCGTTCGTTTAAGTTTATTTATATTAATCTATATTCAATTATTTTTTATTATATTGCTATATTATATGTTCGTTTATGTTCATATATGTTTAATTGTGTTTTTTTTTTTTATCTTTGTTCGTTTATGTTCGTTTAGCATGCTCACGAACGTGAACAAAGTAATTTGTTAAACGAACGAACATGAACAAGAAAATCTCGTTCGTTTATCCGTTCGTGTTCGTTTGTTGTTCGGCTAACTTAAACGAACGAATATGAACAAGACCTTGTTCGTGTTCGTTTGGTTCGTTTAGAGCCCTATATATATATATATATATATATATATATATATATATATATATATATATATATATATATATATTAAAGTTGTGAAAGATTTCAACAGTAAACAAACCTCTTTTTTGTCAATTTTGGCCCCTCTATTTTAATTGGTTTGTCACTTTATTAAAATTTTCTATTACCGGTGGATTTGTTCTTTTTTGTTTTCCTTTTTGTTGTTTTTTTATTCTTTTTTTAATACCTTTGATATGTATCCTTGAAACATACATATAATCCTTGGTGAAATTGATGAGGAGTCTTGGTCACGTATACGTGTGAGCTTCTTCTTCCCTGACGTTTTGTTCTCCAATGAAATGCTTACACAGGTCGTTGATGTAATGATGCACCCACCACATTGCCCTGATCTCTATCACTATATCTCTTCCCGTTCTATCACTCTATCTCCACCGATTACTCTTCTCTATACAAAGTGATCCTCGACCGTGCTTTCTTTATTTCTGTTTTGGGATTAATTGATCCGATTTTGGAGTTGATGTTGCCTCCGTTCTATCTTTTCCGTTGATCTTCTGAAGCAAACATCTCTACCACAAAAAGATATCCCTAGCGGAAACCTCCAAGTCCGACGACGATTAAATATCCCCCCCGGCTGTCGCATCAGGCACACCACCGCCTTAACCGAGTGTTATATTACTGTTGTCGTTTCTCTCCACCATCGCTTCGCTCTAATTGGTCACTGACTCCTCTGCTCTCTCTCCCAAATATGACACCCTAAACGCCTGATGGGTTGCCGACGGTGAGGCGGTGCAAGGTGTGAAGGAGTCCAGGGCATATATTGTTTCTGATTTGGGGGTTTTTCGTAGATGGCTACTCAAGTCTGTTCAAGGAGACAAATGATTGACTTAGGTACAATCCATTTGGTGTTTTATATTTTCAGTTGTTTTAGTATACGATTTCAACTTTCTTCCCCACACCTATTTCGACTTTCAAATTGATTTCTGTTACAACAACAAGGCTACAATCATCAAGGCAGATGCTCATATATATAACTAACAAAAGTTTGTAGGTTCGTCGATTAGCAATGGAGGTTCGACAGTTGGGTTCATCAAAGCAAATCACTGTTCTGAATGGTGGTTCAAGTGGTATGCATTAAATCTATATCTATGTTTCTTTTGTTGATAAAACTCAAAACTCAATCTGAGTTTCTTCAATTGCAAACCTAATGTCACGTCTTTGGTGGTACCAGTTGCTACTCTGGGAGCTGTGGGTTATGGATACATGTGGTGGAAGGTCTGAACCCGATTCTCTAATATTCCAATTGATTTAAAACATTCTCTGTGTTACTGTTTTTTCCTTTGTGTAACAAGTTTTAACTTTTTATATTTTTGTCTGTCAATTTTATATTTTAGGGGTTTTCTTTCTTATTGACTTCATCTGATTCAGCCCTACTCAAGTGCTCCATCTATATCGGCACTTGAATCATCTTCTGATGATTTTTTGGTAAACATTTTGAAAAAGATTAAACTTACCAATTATTCAAATTTCTCTTTTTACTTCAATTTCATTTCAGGATGGGGTGATCGATACACGTAAAATTAATTTTATGTTTATATCCTAATCCATAAGTGGCGGTTTAGTTTACCTTATTTTTATCCTACTTCCTAATTCTTTTAATTCTTCCAATTCCCATTTTTACTGCCTTCCTTTCACTCGAGAAGCTCCAATAAAAGGTCAATTGTATGTATGGAAACTTGATTATGTAAGGTTTCCTTTATCAGGTGGGGATGCAAATTATGCAGAAGTGTCTGCTTCAACGATCAACATAGGTTGAACCAAATAGGATGTGTACTGTCATATTTGTAATTTCATGGTTATCCGTAAAAATTAAATTTATGAAGGGAACATCATATCACAGGTTGGCTTATATTTATTAAAAAAAGTTTCAAACTTTTCACTATCATATTTATATTTCTAACTTTTTAATTATATAAAATTGGTAGGTGGAGTTTTGGGTGTCGGGCACTGCCACCACTACAGTTCATTGCAACCACCTGTGTGATTGTTAAACTTAACTATCAGTATTGATATTACAGCCAATTATCCGATTCTTGATTATCCATGTTGGATAACATTCAACATTGCTGGAATTATTCAACAAAGCAGTTCTTTCATCATATCCCTTTCCATGTGCAAATGTCACCACACTCTTTCAGCCAGTAATGTATATAAGTTGGCCCATTTTGACATTTACGTAACTACTCTCTCTCTCTCTCTCTTATATTTCTTGCATTGTAGGGAGGTTTTTTGAGGCACTAATAGGGGCCATATCAGAGCCTTTATGGCAGCTTTTTAGCAAGGTTGAAGTTCTATATACATTGGAACCAATTTTCAGAGTTATATTTATTGTGGATATAAACACGATATGGGAGAAGATTATGTCTAGCTTAAGAGCTCAAATATTGGGCAACATTTTGATTCACAAGGTAATATCATTTGCTTATATTTTCACTATAATTGTTATACTTGCCAAAGTTTAATACTTTTATCTTTTATAAAATACAACTTAATGAATTTATTTGTCACTATATTTGTCCTTTATTCTTGATAGGTCATTAGGTTGGTGATCTCACTACTTTATAGAAAGCCCTTAAGTAACACACACAGATATATAGACTTTTTGTTGTTAAGTACTTTTGCAAAGTTAGTAGAATCCAAAAAATTTAACTATACTATTATATCATATTCTGAAAAATAACATAATTATATTTGATATTTTTCACACCTTAAAAACAAAGTGATTCAAATATTCACGAAACACTTATTTCTATCTTTGTTTGGTATGTTAGATCTTGCTTTGCCTGTAGCACTTGGAAACTTCATGCTCTTATTTGAAAATGATTTAAATATCATAAAGTCTTATTACTATATTGCATATTCAATGTTTTAATCATATTTAAATTCTCCGACGATTCTATTGACCAAATGTATGTTTTCCTATTATTTGGGGTTGCCTTTTGGAGGCAAAACATTGACAGTGGATGTTAATCATAATAATATGAAGAGGCGAGTGGTGGAAAAAGACCAACTGTGCAGCTTGTAAGTTTATTGATAAGTGATTTTCTGTTTTTTAACAAGAAATATGTTGTTCAAACAACTTTGTTGTCATCAATATTATGAATAGAGACTCTAATTGGAGCTGTCCTACAAAAGGGTGAACCATGTACCTTTATATTTTCACTACCAATAAGTTTTAAAGTTTTATTCTTCGTTTTGTTCTTTAGAGAAGGAAATTGACAGAAGAAACTATGTTTAGCAAGGATCTAATCATTTTGGTTTTTCATCTTAATTTCTTAATTTTTTAACTCTACATCTAGGTTGAAGCATTTTTTTTTCCATATTTACCACTTTTTTTTTTTATTGTTCCTCATTATATTGTTGTTCATTTTGGTTTTTCATCTTAATTTCTTAATTTTTTAACTCTACATCTAGGTTGAAGCATTTTTTCCCCATATTTAACACTTTATTTTTTTAGGGAAAATGACTTGATAGGGTAAGATATGTACACATTTAGTCCTTATTTTTTTTCTTGTAAAATAAACCCTTATACTTTATTTTTTGTAACAATGCAATCCTTGTGACCGCTATACCCGGTATACTGGTCATATGCGAATTTTCTTTTAGGGAAAATAACTTGATAGGGTAAGATACTTTTTGAATTGTACACATTTAGTCCTTATTCTTTTTTTTTTGTAAAATAGACCCTTATACTTTATTAATATGTACACATTAGGTCCTTTTCACCGAATTCTACAAGTTTTGCTGATGTGGAAGCACAAGTGGCACTAAATAACAATTAATTAGCTTAGTCACCGGAGGTGGGTGATCCTCTAGCAACAAGAAAAGGGCGGCAACCCTTCTCTTTCTCGTTTCTCTTCCTTCCGGTCGAATAGCAACAGCCAAACACCATTTACCTGTTGTGTGTCTCCGATCCGTCTCTCTTTGCCTCCATCTTTGAGATATGTTGCCAGAAAAAGAAGAAAGAATCGACGAGGGGGCTACCAGAGCAGCTCCTCGTTGCCAACTACCGTCTCTACTTCCTCCTGCCTCCCCCTTCGACCTTGCTGTTTTTGCCATCATTCCTCCTTGCTACCAGTGATATGTAGGAACACACAAAGAAGTCGTCGGAGATCGGGGTTCTCCCTCTTTTTCCTGATGAATAAAAGTTGGAAAAATCTCGTTGTGGATATGTGGATGCCACCTGGGTATTTCATTTCAACAAAATAAAAGAAAGGGAAAATGATTTGATAGGGTAAGATACTTTTTGAAATGTACACATTTAGTCCTTATTCTTTTTTTTTTGTAAAATAAACCCTCCACGTCAGCAAAACCTGTAGAATCCAGTGAAAAGGACCTAATGTGTACATATTATTAAAGTATAAGGGTTTATTTTACAAAGAAAAAAGAATAAGGACTAAATGTGTACATTTCAAAAAGTATCTTACCCTATCAAGTCATTATCCCTTTTATTTTATTGTACCTTATTATATTGTTGCTGTATTTTATTGCAATGTGTATAACTTTCATTATCTTGAAGAACCTGATACGGGTATAACCCAGACCCGGTACAAGAGAACCATCAGCCGACCCGCCCGTTATAGAGACTAATGGATACTTGGAAGATAAGTTGCACAATCAGCTACCTCAAAGAGCACGTGAAGCTTCATAGTACTTTTTGCTTTATTTTAGGAACCACAATGGCAATTTTGTTTAGAATAATTCCTTGCACGTCTGTTTCCGTTCCTGTTTAGGTGGAAACCTCTAGCAAGTTCCTCTCTTATTTATTTTGTAATTTGGATTTTTAATGGGATATGTTGAAAATTGCTCCAACTTCCCTTTGTTCCTTCTTCTTTTCTGTGGAGATTGACCTTCTCAAAACCAGGTCCTAACAGAACCTGTCAAACTTTATATGTTATGGAACAAATGAAAGGTCGTTTTTGTAAATACCAACTAATACATGGGTCATGTACGTCGTTTTCATGTCGATATTTAACAATTGTTTGGTTGCAGATATGGCTGTCCTAATAGGGAAAGATGGACTGAATGAAATTGTTTTCAGAATTAATCCTCCATCTCTGCTTGACTAGAGAAGATGCAAGTATCATTTTTTTTTTCTTACTTTACTCCATTTACAACATTAAATAATAAACAAGATTTTTTTTGATATTCTAACCTAATATTTTAAGGAACATGATTATTTCTATTTATTCATTGTAGATTTTCTTATGTCTACAATGGACTATGTAATATCCATGTTGTGAAGAAGCATTTTGGAGTGGAAGTAGTATAGAGGTAGATTTGATTAGTTCTATTGTATCAAACTAAATAAATGAATTTTCATGTACCAACAACGTTTTGCATAACAACTTAAATCCAAACTGAATACAATGACCCATGCGGAGCATGGGTACACTACACCGGTTGTTATAATTTTCGTTGTTCAAGATTGATTTCTTAGTTTCTTTTTAATAATGGTTATCTATTAAATATAACCTTGAAAAACTATGTGATACCATATTTTCATGTAATTTTGGATAACACAAACTCTTCAATACTTTTTTAAACTTTAGCTGAATTATATTCCCCTTCCAAAAAATATCTAAAATAACATGTTGTATATAGTATGAAATTTTAAAAAAGAGAACATATTTTAATACAATCTTGCAATTTATAACACTATTAATTCTAAGTTCCTTATGTACAGGAAATGTTCCTATTGGACCATCATCTAAATTTTTTTAACCCTCTCATATTTAATACACGTTTTACAGCTCTCTCATGTTTGGTACGTGTTACTTCCTTCTCCTAACTCCCGCTTTGTTGCCAATCAGGTACGAACAACATATACTCCATCACCGCCTCAAGTCGTCGATAACCTCATCTTCACCGTCATTGCTTCACTTCGATCCAATTTTTTTTTCCTATTCTTCCAATTTCTTGGGTCCGTGCGCAATGTCTTCTTCTTCCGTTTTCTTCTGGTTTCTCTCTAATCTGGTCTGTATCTCACTTCTCAAATACAGTCAGCGTTGTGGGCTGTTCTTCCAATTTCTTGGGTCCCTGTGCAACGTTTTTTTTCTGGTTTTTCGCTAATCTGTTCCGTATCTCACTTTTCAAATCCAGTCGACGTTGTGGGCTGACTTGTTGGCTTTTGAGTTCTCTTCTTCTTTGCTTTTCCTTTTGGTCTCAACACTATTACAAAACACAATCGGATTAGGGTCACAAAGTCCATAAATTAGTCACACATGGAATCCATCCCCCTATTCGATTCGTCGGTGATATTGAAGTTGCACAACCGATGAAGAGAATTGATTGGCTTCATCGTCACCACCGCCTTTGCCCAGTTCCTCTCTTCTATCGACGGAATCCAGGTCAGTTTCTTACTTCCGTTGGATAAATTATTTTGGTCCTGTCTCATTTTTGCGTGAATTTTATGCTTGCTTGGCATTGGTTCTTTCTTCTTTTTCTTTAAGATTTAATAAATTTGAATTCGAAGAATAGCTGTTGAATAATCGGCTTAAGATTTCTAAAAAATTTGATGTTGATGTTACTATTTTACAAGCATATGGAGTATTCAATGAAATGCCTACATAAACATTCTATTGATAATTATTTTTCATGTCTTAAGAAGACATGTCAACTGCAACTGTTGTTACAGTACCTCCGTTCTTGCGATAAGTTTGCTTTAATTGCTTCTTTTAGTCATCTGCATCTGTCCCTCCACAACTTTTGTCAAAAAAAAAATAGCAATTGAAGCTACATGTATCAAGATTGAAACCAACCTTGAAGAATTAAAATCAGAAGTTGCAGAAAAGTATCAAATTTCATACTTTTCTATAAAATTAAAATTATTTTGTTAATTTAAATTGTATTCATGCTTTTTTTAATGTAGAGGGTGGAATCTTGGTGTTAATATGAGATTCCTTTTAAGCTGCATGCATCAAGATTGCCTTAGGATCATAAGATATGAGATTCCTTTTAACTCATTTAAAGAAAAACCAATTTTGGATTTTTTTAAAATTTTTCGTTGCATAAAACCTAAATTTTTTAAATCCAATTGTATAAGTCAAATGTTTTGGGTTTAGGTTTAATTGGTATGTCTTGTGATATTTTTAGCATCTTTTTTAGTAAATCACTAGCATTTTTTATCAACATGATCATTGAAAAAAATGGAATTTAGAAAAAAAAAAGAACAATTTTTCTTTATGAAGTAAAAACACCAAATATTATAGTGACCAATATTTTGATATGTTGCTGGTGTTGGTATTCTGAACTATAGATGTAATGATGTATGTCCTTATTACTTCCATCTTTTTCTTGTAGCAACAAGAGTTCTTCAGACTTAAAGGTTAGCCAGGCTCAACTTATTCATATCAGGTTCTACATTTCATTATGTCCACTTTCCGCATCAAATCGTTGTGATGGTATTTCTTTTTCAATCTTCTCTTAGTTTTTGATAAGCGCATCGTTAATTAAAGCATTGACTCTACTACAATGTGGAGAAAGTTGATAGAATTTTAAACATTGAAAATTAAATTATCTACTTTTAATCTGGTGCAAATAGTCTATTTCATGTAAGCTTGACTTACCTTAGGATAAAATTAAACTTTTGCACAATTTCCTTTTTAATAGATGATTTACATAACTAAATTTAGTGTTCTTCCATATTTTATTACATTTTGGTTTTCTTGGATCACTTTATTCAAATTTGGAATGGAACGGGAGGTACGAACAGTGGTGAAAAGATGGGGTGGGTATGCATAATGCGATAAGGAAACAAATGTTTAAAATATTGGTGAATTTAGAAACTGGTACCTAGTTAGTGACACGTAAACATAAGTAATATGTTTGTTTAATTCTTTTTTGACATAACTTGAAAAATGGTCCCCGTGGTTTCCGAAAATATCAAGTTTAGTCCCTAAGTTCAAAAAACCCCACGGATCGTCCCAGTGGTTTCAAAACTTTTAACATTTAGTCATTCCGGCTCACTCCATTAAATTTTGGCCGTTAAGTAAAGGGTATTTTTGTCTTTTCACTACCACAGGGACTATTTATGAAGTTTTTCCTTATTTATAAATAAATATATATTTAATATTAAAGGTCTCTCTCTCTCCGAGAAGGGTATATGTGCTTCACCCTTTTCTGAATCACCAACACTACCTGCCATTATTGATCAAAGAAATTGACACAACACCTCCTTTGGTTCGTTCGGTTGTCACAAGTATTAGTTACCACCCATTGACCCATTAACCACTGCCCAATACCTCAAGACATAAAGATCACCGCTCAATCGATCCTTCTCCAGGCAAACCAGATCTCTACTCCGACTGAAGGTATCATCCTTTAATTTGGTATTAGGTAAAGTCGATCATGGAATAATTGGCAGATTATCAAAGACGATCGTGGGTTACTAGACATGGCACCAATACCTTCTTATAATTTCACCCCAGTTAGTCTTCATCTTACGATTAATTTTTGGGTTGTTATGTCCGATTTATGTTTATGAATTTGCAATTCTTGCTTTGATTGGCGATGGGATATTTAGGAATTACAAGTCAATATTCTGTTTAGTCGGAATGTCCGTTATCATCCATGCCTTATCTCAGGTTCAACTTTGTTGTTGTACCTATTGCAGAGCCGGTGAGTTCCCCATCCATATCGGTTTAATCTCCACATCTGAGGATTTAGGTTTGGAAAAGTTGTATGTGGTTAGTGATGAGATGGAGAATACGGGAGATTCTAAATAGGGAGGAAATGGATGGGAGGTGATAATCGGTGGTAGTTGTGGTGTTGCCGGAAAAAATGGAGGTGTAAGGGTTGTTTTCCTCAAATTTGATTTGGGGTTGCTGACAGGAAGGATATCGGTGGATCTGCTGGCTTTGATCGGGGTAGGGTCAGAAAATCATTTACCTTGTCCAGTAGCATCCGATGGTGGTGGTGGTGGGAGCAAATGGCAACTTTCGTTTGCAATGGAGAGGTGGATTCAATGTTTTAAGAGGTGAGGGAGAAAGATAAAGTTGGGTGTATGAGAGAGAGAGAGAGAGAGAGAGAGAGAGAGAGAGAGAGAGAGAGAGGGACCTTTAATATTAAATATATATATATATATATATATTTTATAAATAAGACAAAACTTCATAAATAGTCCCTATGGTAGTGAAAAGACAGAAATACCCTTTACTTAACGGCCAAAATTTAACGGAGTGAGCCAGAAGGACCAAATGTTAAAAGTTTTGAAACCACAGGGACGATCCGTGAGGTTTTTTGAACTTAGGGACTAAACTTGATATTTTCGGAAACCACAGGGACAATTTTTGAAGTTTTGTCTTCTTTTGTTAATCGGTATGGTTTATTTAAGTCATTAAATGTGGATGATAGTTTTGAATTAGAGTTTATAATACGCTATGCATAGAAAAAAATTAGCTCATGCTTAAATAGTAGCATTTTACCTTAGAAAAATATTTAAAATTGATCATTTACCATGTTTCAGGTTTCTACAAGTAGTACATCTGGTAAGATGTTTTCTTTATACTTACTTCTAGGCCTGATAACAACAAAAAAGTTGCTTTTTAACTTTTAACTTTTGTTTTTAGATGGTTTCATGCTAATTATTTATGCTAATTATTTATGGATCTAAATGGAAGTAAGAAGGAAATGACAATTGAGGCTACAAAAATTGCAGTTGTTGCAAGATTCTCAAAAATGGATCAAAAATACTCATTTAGTATATTGGAATTTAGTGATCAAACTTATTTAATGAATTTTATTCCGCCTAGTGGTAAACACACTTCGACACTAACCTGTTGCAATCATCTTAGCAGGTAGTTATAACCTTTTCCAATCGTTTTAGAATGCAACTACAACCTTTTATATCTTTTTTTGTTCTTGCATATGTAATGTAGAACTGTTAACATAATGTAATAAAGTAACAATTTTCTATATTTAGTATCATATACAACTAACACAACTATATTTCAATCCAACAAATTTACAGAAAAAATACATTTCAAACCAACAAATTTAAAAAAAATGCCATCCGACCCATGCAAAGCATGGGCCCTTCACTAGTTTGTTACATTAAACAATATATTTCTATTTTTTTATCAATTTACTTCTATCAAATATGTATTCAATATTATGAGCCAATTTGGGATTTCTTATTTGTAGAGATAAAAGTCTCTTAGAATGAAGGACCTGAGTTCAAACTCGGACATAGGTGAATTAACTAAGTTGATAAATTAAACTTTTAACCATTCATCAACTCATGGTTGTCAAAATCACGATCATGATTGTAGGATCGTACCGTACGATCTGACGGTCTTAGGTATAAAAAAGGAGAAAGATCGTATTTGAGGTAGGATCGTAATATCGTAGGATCTGGATTCGATTCGATCCTACTTTCCCTTGATTTTTTTTTTTTTTTTTTTTTTTTTTTTTTTTTTTTTTTTTTTGCAAATGAATTTTTTTACTACTTTATGTATTTTTTGCTATTTATCAATTACCATTTATCATTTTGTGTTGTGACTAATGATTAATATTTGAAAGTTTTTCTAACTTTTGAATGAAAAATCGAATGTTTAAAATATCTTTCATGTTTTAAAATTATAAATTAAAATTATGATTTATTGTGTCGGATTTTAGGATATCGATCCCGATCTTGTAAACTCGAAAACAATTTTATATAAGATCTTGATCTCAACAACCTTGCATCAACCATTCAAAAAAATATTCAACATTATGGAAGAACTTATTTAAAACTAACAAGATATTCTAGATATTATGATATATGGATCGAACACGAGTATTGCAATTTGATACACATTCGATATATAATTACCCAAACATAACAACTATTACTTAAGAATTTTGTCAAGAATATACTGTTTATTCATGTTAGTGTACATTACATAACAAAATATTTCAAAATTTCACAAAGTAAAATAAGGATTAAGAAATAATTTTTTCCTACAATTGTGAAATAAATAATGAAAGCTAATCAAACAAAATAAAATGACATATATATATATATATATATATATATATATATATATATATATATATATATATATATATATATAATAAATATTGCACTCAAATTTTTTTAAATAAAATCATAAATTATATTTATATAAATTAAAAACTTACCCCACTTATACCCCATTTACTTATCTTATAAATATCTTTTTTCCCTCTACCTCTCTCCCCCCTCTCTCACTTTTCTCATCACAATATTGATTATTAGACCATTGTGGTAACCACCATATTATGATGTTTTTACTCTCTTTAGATATATTCGTTACCACCTCTATTCCCCCCCCCCCCCCCCCCCCTCTCTCTCCACCCCCAACCCCTCATCGGAAAACACCTCCCTCCGCCTATCCTCTTCCCGAACTGCATTTCTTTGCTAGATCTGACTCAAAAAAGTCACCGGATCTAAAGCAAAAAAAGTCACAAGATTTAAATTAAAAACCCAACAAAAATTGTCGCTTTGAACCACCAGATCTCAAGCAAGAAGTCACAAAATCTAATTTCTCATTTCGATTTATTTGATTAAATGATTTCGAAAGGTTTCCAATAGAGATCTATTTCGGTTTTTTTTTTTGAATACTTCTAAGAAATATTTAGACATATTTGTGTTATTGATTGTATTCCATCTGTTTGATTAAATGCCTATAAAGGTTATACCTATTGTGTTTTATGGTTTTCCAGGTGAAGAACATGATAACATGGTTTAATTCAATGTGATTAAATACATATAATCATATGTGAGACCAACTATTGAATCAGAAATGTGAAAAAGAATACTGTGCATTCAAATCATAGGTGATTAAATACATATAATTTGATGCCTGCTTTCCATTATGTTATTTGACAAGTTTATTGATTTAATGATTAAGAATGGATAGATTTACGCTTGGCGCTACGTGTGCATTTATACAATTGGGGCAACGGGGGCATGTTCGTCACAGTGTGTCCCAGTTGGCAACCCAAATGCTAACTCTCGAGCTTTGAGCCCTATTTAAAGGAACTTCTTCATTTTGTGCAACCTCCATCTCCAGAAACCCTAGGGAGCAAACCCTAGCCTCATCTTTTGGTGTTGTGTGATATTGGTGTCTTTTAATTAAACTTTAGAGAGCAAGAAAGGAGTTATTGGAAGAGACCCAACATTCTCATCTTATATTGGACCATTTTAAGTGACAAAGTTCCGAACTGTAAGCATAAATCTAGGGTTTTAAGGAGTTTGTAGCCACTTTTGGTTCCTTTTCAAGATGTTCTTGGAATTTAGGAAACTCCAGATCATTAGGATTGTTTATTATTTACTTTGAACATTTTGTAGTGACAAGAGAGCATGGAGCTCTTATTAAACCATGTAAAGAGGTCTAGCCATTTTGGGCTCTTTTTGGATCAAGGATTGGGATTTGGAATGCTATAGACTTGTGCAAGGATAAAATTGGAAAATTTATCAATTAAGACCCTTATTTTTTTGAATTTCTGAAATTATAGCTTCGTTCCTTATGGATTAAGAACTTAATAAGTGAAGTTGTTAAGTCTGGGGACGTGACGCGTCAAGTAGAAGGTTGCAACACCTCGCCAAGGGTGTAGTTGTGACTATTTTGTCGTCTAGCGAACAAGGTGCGTCAAGGTCTTGGTTATAGCACATTTGGCCATTGACTGTTAATTGTTGACTTTTTGACCAGTTTGACTTTTGGTCAAACTTTTATGGATTTGAGTACTAGACTGAGGTTTGATGTTTTTTGTATTACATGGTTCGTGGTATCGATTTCATTTGCATACACTTCTATTGAGTTATGATTTCTAGATTCAGGTGAGTTTTAAATGATATTACATATCACATTAAGAATCTTTTTTTTTTTTTTTTTTTTTTGTGTAGGATGCTTGTTTATTACTATTGTATGATCGTATGATTAGCTAGACTAGTCGAGTCCCGCAATTGTATGTATAGTCTTTACACTAGAATATATGGTATAGTGGGGAACTTATTTGACTTTGTGCTTACATTTTAAAGTTAAATGCTTTTCAGGTAGTTCCATTGACAATGGTAAGGGTGCTGATTTACTATACACATATATGGAGTTGTTATGATTTTGATTTATGTAAACTCTGATTTATGCTTTGACTTGATTTATAATGTTGAAAACAATTTGATACTTGTTATATCTTTATGAAAAATGTTTTTGTATTGTTTACTTCAATTTTAAAAGGAAAATTGTAGTTGAAAAAATTTAGGACGTTATAATAATCACATGTGGTTAAATACACGTGAACAACTATATATTGAATCGAGAACGTAAAAACAAATATTTTTCATATAAATTAAATACGATTAAATATATATAATCACATGTGATCAAATAGACAAATACACATGAACAATTATTGAATCACTAAAATGAAACGAATCTTGTATATATAAATTGTAACACCCGTGTTTCTGGGCTAAGTATTAGTATAGTGATGTAATAGTCAGGTCAACCATTGTAACCTATTTTGAAGTAATAAAGATGAATTATTTGAGTAATACGTGAATTATGTGAATTTATGTGCTTATTACTTGTTTATAATGATATAATAAATAAAGGTTAAAAATAAGCGTCAAAAATAAATTGTTAGATAAACCCAATATTGATGAAGAAAGTTGTATTGATCTTGAAAAGGATTCTGGATATATAAAGAACGCCGAAATCCGAGTTATAACAAAGAAGTTATGACCTGTTGAAGTTTCATGACAAAACCGACACGACGTTGTGTGATGTAAATAGTGAATCTACGATAGAAGACTTTTTAGCCTTAGTAATCTAAACCAAAGTTGTATTATACATTAAACCGAGAGCATGCATAAAAAGAACGCCCAAATCTGACTTCGTATGAGTAAGTTATGAATTTTCTAAGATTTGGCTTAGCAATGCACAGTCTGAAACTCGAATTTTAGATCAAGCAGTTTTTGGCCTACGAAACCTAAATGAGAATTGAAGATCTCATTAATAGGAACTCAACGGTAAAAAGACAAACGAAAACGATGTCCGTATGTAGAAGTTATGAATATTACAGGGACATTTAACATTATAATCTCCTCGTACTATTAAATTTAAGACTAGTCGACAATTAGCAGACAAAGTCAAAATGAAAGTTGTAGATCTTATTTTTAGAAGTCCTATGTGAAAGTTACGGATTTTAGAAGTCGGAAGTGTGTTATGTGAAAATGAGTGACGTGGTACAATCTTGACGATTGCTTTCTCCCAAAGTCTTGCCACCAGATGGTGACATTTAGCACCAAGTTCAATCATATTTCACCATATAAATAGAACCTCTCCCACCCTCATTTTCTTCACACCTTTCCCATTCTTTTTTCTTTCTACTCTCTCTCTCTCTCTCTCTCTCCCTCTCTCTCTCTCTCTCTAAACCTCCCAAAACCCCCCTAAGCCCTAGGGAACTCCCCTAGCGCTAGAAGAAAGCCCCGGAGTGTTCGATGGCTCCGAGAAGAAGAGATTTTCGGCTCAGGAACACTACTCCAAGCGAAGCCCGATTTTCGAGAAAACCCCCTGTAAGTGAGATACGCCTACGCTATTTTTAATATAGCTTTTAATTAATTATAGTGACGTTATTAGGACCTTATAATAATTATTTGGGTTATTATTATGAGGTATATAAGTGTCGTTATAATATCTTTTAAACTACTCGCGGTACGGAGAATCTGGTTTAAAGGGCCGCATACGACTGTTGGATTTCAAATGTGCTATATGCCAAAATGGGCCTTCCCTCCGATGTTTTATGTCTGACCCCTGTTTGTACATAGTGGTTGGAAAATATTGTTTAAACGCTTGTAATAATAATAATAATAATAAT